AAAAATTACTCTATATATGTGGATTGTTTATGTTATTTATCAGTTCTACTTTTCTTCAAATCCCATAGTCTTTTTATGTACTCTATATATATTTGACGATTTCATATTGTTTTATTTACATGTAATAATGAAAACAAACATTTCCCATTTTATCTCATGAATATTGTAAACGTAATTACATGTCGTTTGAATAATTAAAAATGTCTCTTGTTTTACATTTTACTAGATTCACATGATATAGTACAAATAGGAATAGAACATTTGATACATGCCATGATTATTTAACATATCAATAAATAATAGAATACACTTAAATGAATTTATATTATTTTTACATTAAATTAACATGTAATTGGAATGTCAAATAATCCATATAAAGTTTTATAGAATTATATATACATAGATAAAACTGTTCAGATTGTAATACCATCAAAACATATATATGATAAATTATATAATTTTCTATAAAATATTATATTATTAAATGATATATAATGAATTTTCATAAAATGATTGTAATGAATACAAATAAAATAATAATAATGTAGATTATTTTCAATTATTCAAATATGTATGTGCTACTTTAAAATTTTTTTTTTTTTCATATTTAGAATTATATATATGTACAGAAATTAAATAGGTCTTAATACATGATTACATATATAATATTAAATAAATATCAATAAAAGGACAAGTAAAATTTTTATATAATTATAAAGAGTAAATGTAATAATCAGAATTATTTTCTTTTTCTATATTATGTAAATTACGACTCCTTAAAAATTTTGTAAAAATATATATAAGTAAGAATATAGACAATAGCTAAAAAGACAACGCAATAAAAAAAATATGGTATATCCTTATGTATAATACATCTTAGAGGAAATAAATAAATCTAAAATATAATAATTAGGGATACAGAAAACATAATTATCAGGTGACTAAAACGAGAAATCAGGTTTTCAATTTTATGGTTCAGGGTTTAGGGTTTAACTAAATCATATATTGTACATGTTCTATAAAATATGATATTTTTCAATATGGAAATTTTTTATTTCGAAAATATTATATACATTAGGTTTTATAAATTTATACATTTAGTGGGATTACATCTTATGCATTAAATCTTTTTTTTATCCACGTTTTGTATATAATCACTCGTTAGATTTTTTTTATTGTAAATTCTATAACAAAAATGAATTTATATATTCATTGATAATTTATATTTTTACGATTATCCATTATATAGCAAATTGTGAAATAGCAGAGCATAACAAATGAATACAACAAATATGTGACGAATGATATTTCATAATGTTATCCCTTATATAACTAAAGATAATACTTATTTTTGAACAATTTTCATACATCAATATTCTCTGATCAGTTAAATTATATCAGCGTATCCTTGTACATCAAAAATCATTTTACTAATATATAGATACATGTCATCATATATATAGAACATTATTGTACCTTATAACAATAAATCACAATTTATTTCCTATTTCTAAATTCCTGAATATAACAACATGAATGAGCATTATAGGTTATTGTTTATTTATTAAATAACTTTTCATCTATTACACATGTTATGCAATTAATGTTTCTAGATTATTTTATACTATATATAAGTACATACATTTACATTAACTATGATTTAATATAGTTTTCCTATTTATTTAAATAAGCTTTAATACATTAATGATTACTTATTATAATAATTATGACTGAGTACCTTAAACGAAGAATCCTTAAATTTATTACATCGAGATTTACAGAAGTAAACATTTCAGAATTTATAGATCTTAGGAAACTAATAACAAAATATATATGTATATTTATTTTGAAAATTTTATTTATTATTTACTTAATAATAAACTAAAAGAAAAAATTTAATTTTCAATATTTAATATCATTATTGTAATTTTTACAATCCATTTTGTGAGTGCTATAGTATAAATAGGAAATTTTATATCTAAATAGTTTAAATTTTTGAGATAAATACATTAAAAATATTTTTCGTTAGAAATTCAGTTCCTATAAATATTTATAATGAAAACGTCCTGTCTGCAGATAAGGGATAAGATATCATGAAGATCATTTTTACAATACAACATATATATAAGGAGAAAAACAACATATTTTAAAAAAATAGAACAATATTACTATTTCTTTTTCGACCTTATAATAAAAGCATAAAATATATGAAATATATGTACATTTAAATAATATTATTTTTTATTTTTATATTTACATTTGTTATTATTTTAGCAATTGATACTTTTTTTAAAATAATTTTTATATTATTTACTGATATTGCATTTTTTAATTTACTTGTTTTATTAAATCTTGACATTTATTTGAAAAAAATTATAGAACAATTTTTTTAATATAGAGACATGTGTTTTTTTTATTTCGTAATTATATTCTTAGTTTGTTGTGATGTACATAATAAAATGCATTTAACATACATAAAATAATTTTTTTTGCAATTCCGTTATATATTACAATAAAATAAAAGGTGTATTTTTGAATCATTAGTAGTAGAAATTATATAATCATTAATAATGCAGAAAAAGAAAATTGTAATAATAAATATTTTTTAAAAAATATATTAAATTAATAGAAATTACAAACATCATGTAGTTTTAATTACAATATATTTTATTTTCATAGATTAAAAATTGTTATGATAAATAATCACGTTATTGTTCAACTTATGCAAAAATAATTTCAATATGTTATAAGTGCGATACAAATAAATAAAAAAATATGCTCAAATATATTTTGACCTGGCATACTAATGCTCTTATGAATTAATTCGGTTTACATATTTGTAATTATATAAAATTTATAAGTGATACATAAAAAATATATTTCATTGAATAAACTTAACTTTTCATATATATTAATGCAATTGTTGAATAATATGATTATTCTTATTAGAAAGTAATAACTTCATATATGTTTAAAAAAAAATGACTCCCAAATTATTAATTAAATTATATATTTTTTTTTATAACTAATATACAAATTTATAAAGAATTATGTCTGTTCCTATTATATACAGTAAAAATAAAATACAATAGAAAATAAATTTTATATGTTATAATAATTAAATTATGTTAGTAACATATAAATAAAAAATATTTGTAATTTATTTCTTCTTGTAAGTTAAAATATTATTGTTATAATCAACAATATATAAATAGAACATAATAATTATAATATAGAAATGGTGGAGCAAAACTTTACGAATTCAAAAAATAATAAAATATTTAAAGAAGTCTATTAAATATTTAGCGTGAAAAACTATGGCTTTACTTCTTTTTATAATATATAAAAATAAACCATTATTAATATAAATTATATATAAGAAATAAAATTAATGATATTGTGTATAAAAAAACCTAAAATATTTAATTTATCCGATAGAATCTATGACACATTGTTTTAAAAACATTGTGTATATGTAATAAATATTATTACTGTAACATACACTATAATATTATGTACATTAATAAGGATTCCAAATAATTCATTTTTCATTCATATTGGAAGCTTCATTGTATGGATTGTTAATATATATTTATGTAGTATATAATCTATAAGCAAGTAAACGTACATATTTCATTGACAATAATATTAAAATAATAACATATCATGAAGATTTATAAAAATAGACAAAATGAATAACACAAATGGCCAATTCGAAATAGCACCACATATATTCTTATAAATGTTATTAGAAAATTTTCAATACATTAGTAAATACACACTTAGGTGTATGCTTTTTCTATTTTTCTTATATATCACGTTTTAACATTTGTTAATAATGGGACTTCAGTTAGGTGTAAGTTCTTTATATAATGTAAATTGATATTTACTTTAGGATACGATATTTCTAATTAAATTATTTATATTTTTTTATAAATAAAAAATACATATTTTATCATTTGTTATATATGCACAGGATGATGTACTTAAAATGTTACCTTCAAAAGAAAAGTACGCTAGTCTCAATAATGGTTATGTGGATTGTAAGCATGCTAATTTTTACAAATATGTAAATATTCCTCTACAAAATGAGGAATGGCAGAACGATGTTTCTAACGAAATACATAAAGAATTATGTTATATATATAATAAAAAGGAAACGGCGGACTTTTATAGTGATGATTGTGATTACCTATACCATTGGTTAAATGATATAATATATAATAATATAAAATTTCAATTACATTCTACAAGTGTTATAACAGTACTTAAGTTTTTACTAAAAAGTAATGACGGTCTGAATATATGTAATTATGATGAATTTAATATCGATAACGAAAATTATGGGGATATTAAGCTTTTATTTGATTTTTCTAAGGATTATGATACGCTAAAAGAATATTTTAGTAATGGTCATAAGTTTTGTAATAGCGATTTTCGGAATTATGTAAATGGATATATCAGAACATATAACAAGTTCAAAGACATGTGTAATAAACCAAACAATAATCAATCAACTTGTATTGCTTTTAAAAAATACTTTAAAGATAGGCAAAATGAGAACTTAAGTAACTGGACCTGCAATTCAGCAGGAAATACAGATGGGTTGGCATCAAGGGAAAAAAATCATAAAAATCTGGAAAAACCAAGTGAATCTATGGTAGTGCCAAGAGTGGACGCGCAAGAAAAGGTACCAGAAGAAACTCTTATAAGAGAGGAAGAGAGAAGTTTCACAGGCTCAATTTCTACAAATTCTGATGTCTATATTGAACATTCAGCATTCAGATACAATATTGATAATCCAAACAATTCTTCAGCTTTTACAGTTTCAAAAGCTATGACTATTGCACCATTAGTTATAGGAATTACAGTTTTTTCTATTTTATTTTATAGTGTAATTATTAATGTAAATTA